AACGTTCCTTTCAACAGAGAATTGCCTTTGTCGAAAGTCTGGAACTAAATAAACGCAGCCTGCGATGGATGCACGTTAAATTTTAGTGCGATCGAACGATGCATTTCGGGATATCCGGTCAAGAGACATTCTACTTGTTAGAGATTCAAGAATTTATTATTCAAGAATTCAAGATGATACGCGTTCAAGATGCATTGATCTTGATTATTGAATTTTTCAATCCCGAATTCTTCGATCTTGAATTCTTGAATTTTTCAATCTTGAATTCTTGAATCTCTTGATCGTATATTTTTCGATCTCGAGTTCTTTAATCCCGAATTCTTCAATCTCGAATTCTTGAATCTTGAATTCTTGAATCTTGAATCGCAAGGCCCTTAAAAACCAACCAATCGAAAAATGAATTCCTGTTTCCCGCTCGAATGCTTCGGGTTCTAAAGCGATCAAACTTAAACAATTTTTACATTCCGAGTACGAGATCCGTATCTCCTGGCCTATCTCGAGCAGAAGCCCCAATTTGGGCGCACTCGTGAACGGGCACGATCCCGGTGGCGCTTAATTGGAAACAACGGGCCGACAAAGGCGGATTAAAGCGTTGAAAAGGCGTGCACAATCGCGGCACGCTTCTGCCGCGCGTAGATCTCACCCGAGGGAATCGTCGATATCGCGTGATTTAATTTGTTACAATTAGGGCAAGGGTCCCTTAGGTGGGACAGCCCGATGGAAGCCTAACGGCGAGGAAGGGAGAGGAGGTCGTAAAGCGCGAGCGAGTGCGAGCGAGCGTTCACCGCGCCCTGCTATTAATATCAGTTAACGACCCGATATGATCGCTCGTCTATACACGGACAGGCCGCACAGTTGGCTGCCTGTCGGTGGGCTCGAGTCATGGGCACGCACCATGTGCCCCCACGACCCGTGGATTCGACCACCGATTCCTAGTCGCTCGATCGAACCCCGATTTTCTGTCTTGCATCGGCTCACCTATCTACTTCGTACACTTTTATAGATTTAGAAAAAGGTTCTGAATATTTGTTTAGGATGTTGCTCGGGAAGACGGATATATTTTATGGTTTATCGTGTTTTTGGTAGTTTGTAGCATATGTAGCGATGATTGCTTGATTTTAAGAATTGCGAACGGTGGACTTTGTTGGTTGCGAGTTGAAAGACGAGAGTTTAGTATATAGAGTTTGTAGGATTTAAAGTCTCAACTAGCACTTGAATTATTGAATTTCTGAATTCTTCCATCTCGAAATTCTGAATTCTTCAATTCTTTTATCTTGAACTCGAATTCTTCAATCTTGAATTTTTGAATTCTTCAGTCCTGAATTCTTGGATCCTGAATTCTTGAATTCTTCAATCTTGAATTCCTGAATTCTTCAATCTTGAATCATGAATTCTTGAATTCTTCAATCTTGAATTCTTGAATTCTCCAATCTTGAGTCTTGAATCTTGAATTCTTCAATCTTGAATTCCTGAATTCTCCAATCTTGAGTCTTGGATCTTGAATTTTTAATTCTTCAATCTTGAATTCTTAGATCCTGAATTCTTCAATCTTGAATTCTTGAATTCTTCAATCTTGTATTCCTGAATTCTCCAATCTTGAGTCTTGAACCTTGAATTCCTGAATTCTTCAATCTTGAATTCCTGAATTCTTCAATCTTGAAATTCTTAAATTCTTCAATCTCGAATTTCTGAATTCTTCAATCTTGAAATTCTTAAATTCTTCAATCTTGAATTC